CAGCATGTGTGTCACGCGGTGGAACGTGTTAAAGACCGATTCTCTCAAGTCGCCAAGTATGAACGCGGCTGGTTAGGTACCAGGTGACTCCAAGCAGTTGTGGGGAAAGCGCAACCGTTTTTTTTTCATCTCATTGACTTGTGTGACTAGTGACCTTTGCAAAAGCACTGCTTCCATTGCACATGTGAAGGTAGACAGGCACTATTCCCTTCAAAGTCGATTCCGGTACAGCGTTCAAAGAGTTCTTTGTGCCAGAAAACTCCAAAAATGGGATGGCCGGAATGCGAAATCTCTTTTCGCAAAAAAAAGCGGCGAGTAACCTGGAGTTCCTTCCCTCAGATGCTAGGGCAAGGAAACTCGTCATCGTTACGACAACCCCAGTTTTGCAGGAGGAGGCAGGAGGAGTTCCTTCATCCTCACTCCCTTGTCCGTCTTCTCGACGTTGACTTAAAAGCGTACAAATTAGGGATATAGATGTAGATTTAGGTCGAAAACCTACTACGAAACACTTTTGTTTTATCCTTGACCTCAGACAAGCCACTCTCATTTCGTCACCCTGGAAGCTCATGAAAATCACTGAATAGTACGTAATATTGTTGGCCTTTTTTAATTTTTGCCGCATTTCAAAGATTTGTCACTACAGTACTGTTTTCACCTATGTGATTTCTTTACTTTGTTAAGTTTAATTCAGACAACTATGATTTACCGTTGATTCTCCGATATGAAGACTCTCCACCGGGGTTTCACTCACTGCCAAGGAGTCGAGTTCGTCGAGGCACCTATACCCTTCCTAAAGAGAAATCGGAAGTTGTAGAACAGGAAGGACCAGAAATGTGGAACACTCATATACCTGATGATGTCGAAGTAGAAAAAGAAAACAATACAGTAAGTCTTTGTCTAGCTCTTATTTAGCTTTTCACGTGCTGAGCTCTCTACTCTTTTAATTACTTGTGAGACAGCAGTTCTTTTTGTCGACTGGGTTCTGAAATTATGTTACAATTTCAGGTTGATCATAAGTATTACATAACAACTACTTATTTGAATCGTCCACAGCAAATGGAAAACTATTGGGTTGACATGGATGCCATGTTGAAAAAGCCTGGTGTCGTGGGAAATGCAAGTCATCCGCTTTTATCTGGGACTTATCGAAGGGCTGTGGTGAGTTTCTTTTTTCTCTCGATTTTTACTTTGGAGGGAGCAGGACACTTCGCAGAACTTTCACTTGGAATCTCCCGTTTTTTCACTTGGAATCTCCTGTTTTTTTTTGTTATTTTGAATGTTTGAAGGTTATTCTCATTGGGCTGTCCCAGAACCTCATAAGAGTAGCGCGTGAAACATGAAGAGGCACAAAAATCGTTGGGTTGGACACGGTGGGATCACTTCTCACGTCAATGCCTCCAGTGGAGAGCTATGCCCATTTACACTGGACAGGAGTCTACAAGTCTGAAGTGTCCCCGGGAGAGGAGGAGGTGGGGTCAGCGAACAGGTCCCAGAACCAAAAGTTGTTGCAATGCTAAGCACTGAATATTCGAGGAAAAATTGCAAATTTTTGGCACATTTTGAGCCTTAAGTATTTCTCTTGGCTTCTTTTGAGTCTTGGGCGTGTTCCTTCAAATTTTTGGGACTTTGGAGTTCTTTTGCGATGGGTTTTTGATGCCGCTTCATGTCTCCAATACACGTTCAAGATTCATATGAAAAGTAACTTGGTCCGGATTCAGGGTGCAAAGCTAAGCTTCAAGTTCCCGTTTTACGGTCATATGATGACGAATCTCACAATAGCTACCGGAGGTTTGTCGATTTTCGGAAATATCTGCCTTTTTCGTTCTCATCTCGTTGATTATGTTCATATTGAAGGTTTTCTCTATATTGGAGACCAGACACACAATTGGTTGGCTGCCACACAGTATATAGCCCCGCTTATGGCTAATTTCGATACAATGCTGGATGTAAGCTATTTGTTGCATGGTTAGCTGTTCAGGGAAATAATCAGGCATTCAGGGATCGAGCATTCTGTATGCAGACGACGGTGAGAAGTTTGTGGTGGAATGGAGAAAAGTTCAGTTAAGAGAGCAGCATCAAGGTATGATTTTGAAGTGGTTTTTGCTGGGCTCGTCATTTGAAACATTTAGCTTTGTCCGTGGTTTGATAGATTATTTGACGCTTTGACGCTCGAAAATGCACATCCTTCGCAGTGTATGATTTTTGTTTTGTTTCTGTATTCATTTTGTAGTTCGATCGCAGACTTCTTCATCATCGCGCCTGGAAATTTCGAAAAAAAAACGCTAGCAGGCGGCCGAAAAAGCCGAAACGCGCACAGTCGTTAATCCCTTAATGTTTCTTCCCATGGAACTGGTTGCGAGAATTCAAATGTATGACATTCATTTTTCAGCCGGGCCATTCACCTTCCAAACTACCCTGTTCAAAAATGGATCAATCGCTTTCGTTTATAAAAACGTGAGTGCTTCAATATTTTGCCTTTATTTCTGCCTTTATTTCCAGGTTTCATATGCATATGTGAAATTCCTCGCTTTAGTTAACTAATACTGCGGTTATGGATGTTTTTGAGCCTGTGGTATCTTTAGTGTTCTTCCGAGAAAGATGATCGCTCTAAATAGCGCGTCTCATTATTGCATCAACGGGCGTATTAAGATTTCTTGCTCGGAATTGTAATCAGCAGCTTCAGTCAAGACGTCATTTAACTAATTCATTTTAGAAGTGGGCTCTTCCGTTCTTAAAATCAGGGTTCATTATTACATCGCGGAAATTTTTCGTGAGCTGGCTGTTCGCCCGCTCACATAGCTGTTTTTCCCGATCGATACGTATCAAAATCATTTCACAGATGCGCTTCTTCCGCCGATTCCGCGGGGTCGCGGAAAGTGGGCAACTTTCGCAATTTTTCCCAAAATTTTGTCGAGTGGGTGGAGAAAGGTTTGAAATATAGTAATTTTGCTGCGCTGATTGGAATAGTAACAGAGACCGAAATGAAGGGGCAAAATCAGTGGAAAGTTTTTGTTTTTTTTTAATCTTCCTCGCAGTGTAGTAATAAAAGAAACCAAAGAAGATAGGTGAGACAATAGGATTCTATGGTGTTGCGAAAGTATTTGCTTTGCAGTATCAGATTTTTTTAGAGCAGGTTTGAGCCTCCAGTGCTTCCAAGCTCTCAGGAAATGTATTTTGCATAGATTGGCGAATGACGGCTGGATAGGGAAATTGAATTCAACGGGAATTTTTTCTATAGATGGGCACATAGTGATTCCGAAAATAGGCTTGCTATAATAGCATTTTTAAATCTAGTCTGTCTGATTCTCGAATGATCCTGATTGCCTTGTTGCCCAGATGCACTTAATCATGCAACAGCTGTTACTTTTTCTACCTATTCATACACCAGATATCATGAAGATGGTGCACGCAAGGATCGTGCTGTAAATTGCGCATGCAGATTACATCTGGTTAAATTTGCACTCAAAGCGATGACGAGGGACATCCCTCAAACAGCTGGCTTGGCAGTCGAAAGGATATTGTTAGAACACCAAACGGCGGCAGATGCGAAAACCGCCCCACAAGTTTTTGCCATAGAATTGCGATGTTGCGCAAGGGGCAGAATGTTCATGCCCCTCGTGCAACATTTTAGACAAAAAAATGTGCATTGAAATCAGTGCAGGCAGCGTTCCATATCATAATAATCAATATAGCACTTTTTATTTTCATGCTAGGCAGAATGAGGTGAACATCGTGGAGTGGCAAGTTAACCCATTACCACACTCGCGATGCGGAGATCAAACCCTGGATTGGCTCTTGCCCAAGCTTATATTTCCTCCTAGGACGATAAATTGTAGCCGGGTTCGTCTGGGTGACGGGACCACGGAAGTTCAATTCTGTCTGAACACACAAACAACAGTTACTTCATTCCATTCCGAATTCACAAAGTTCAGTTATCCCAATAAAATAGAAAGATATTCGGCACTGACGTATTTGGGAAGGGGGGTCTATGTGTGAGGCTATCCTTTGACACTCGAGGGCGCCCCTTCCTCTTCCTCTCACGAAGTTCCCCTCCCACAACTACGGTAGCGCCAAATATTCGTCAACGCGAGTGAAGTGCCTCTTATGCTCAGTTCCGGTGTGCTCACCAGGAAGGAACTGAGTTCGTCTAAGCGAGTGAATCGCCCAAGGCACTTCATAGTTGGGGGATCTTCGGCGGGGAGGGGGTCGCATTCGGTCTTTGAAGAGGTGCGTAGTTTGCAGAGCTTTTTTTAACAGCGGGACTTGGCGGGAAAAAAAAACTTCCAAATTTCTAGACACTAGAAATTTTCTTCAAGTGAATGAGAAGGAAACCCACGGTTGACTTATGACAACCCATGTATTGTATTAATAAATTTTCCTGTAGGTACCCATGAATGTGTCGAATATAAGCGATGAACAGCATCCGGTCAAATGCGGTATTAGCGATGCTTATCTGTACCATCATATGTTTATGGCACATGGAACTAGTACGTGGTTTTATTTTTTAAGTTTTTCTTCTTTTTTTTACTTTTTTTCGTATCTTGATGTCCGGTACGTAGTCATGCTGCCCTTTTGTTACTGCTGATTGTGGAGGTTGCATTGCCGTGGCGCTCTGAGTTTGAGGGAGAAACGGGCGAGGAACAAGAAATTGATTTGGAAAGCTCTTTTTCTTACGTATTCATAAATTTCTCTGGTGGTGCAGCTTCCCATGAGGAAAGATGGAAGTAGCGTTATATTTTCTGATTTTTCTGTTCACTTAAAAACGCTGTTGGCAGCGTGTTGAGGTGAAAAGATAGCTCCGAGAGTCGGTATCAAAGGTTCAAGATCGTTCTGTTATCATTCAGAGTTCAAACGAAACTTTTTTGTGGGGTTTGTCACCGGCGTGTTGACATTATGGATGAGATCAGAGAATGGGAACGAAAACGAAAACTCAAACGATCAGAGTAACAATGTTTGATCCTTGTGCTCCGATGCACAAGAATTAGATTTCCGATGTTGTGCTTTCCCGGAGCTTTATGGTGATCCGGGTATTTAGCAGCAGGATGGTATTCCAAAAATTTCCTTCATTACATCTCAAAATCTTCGATTTTGAAAAGGTTTTTAAAGCTTTCTGCAGTGGTGTGTCAATGAATCAGCCCCATTGTCTACATACATGGACTGGCTTATAGCCTTGTCCACTGCGTGTGCTGGCGCGGCGCCAACTTATTCTCCACCAGTTGTGGAAGCTGGTCAGTCGATCACAGTCAGTGGAACATGAGCTGGTGCCGCGCCGTAAGTGCTCCGCGCGCGCCCAGCCGGGCATGCCAGCTATTCTCTACCATGGTGGAAAGACGAAGCTGGTGCACAGGAGACTCAGCCAGACTGAGGGGAGGCCCGCGCTACAGGTTACGCTTGCGGCAAAACCCGCCATACTTACCGTTAGACAGGTCGCGAGCGCACAGTTGTGCGCGTTGTTGCTATCAATTTTCTGGGACTCTTACCTGTTCTTGTCTGGTTCTTTCACGCGCGATACTAAGCGCTTCTGTACTCACTAAGCGTTTCTGTACTCGTGCTGATCCAACGTTGAATATCATATGCTTTTTCTAGGGTTTTCGATGAGTTATGTTTCTTCTTGTCCTCACTGCACCATCCACGACTTGTAGTCGCTCGTATTTATAATGTAGTCAGCATGCCACGTCCCAGGAGATGTGGCAGAGCATTATGGTCCTTCTTTGATTCTCCACTCAATTCTTTATCATTTCAGTGAGTCCGAAGCGTGTTATCTATGAGTACCATCGAATTGAAATCCCACTGGAGAAAGTGGTTGCTGACACGGTCGTTTATCTAGAAGCGCAACCTGGTAAGTTTAATTTTGAGATTTTATTTGGTTATTACTTGCCGCCAAGCGGAGAATCGCCCAGATTTCGGAGCTTGGGAGAATCGAAAAAAAAAAATTAAATTTTATTATTTTTTATGAGATGTTTTGTTATTTATTATTTTTTATTTGTTGCTACTTTTATTTTACTTCTTTTATTGCTATTTTTTAATTGAAAATCATGCTTAACATATCGATCTGAAGAATCGTTGAAAAATCAGATACGCACTTGACTGACTCCGAATTACTTTGTAGAACTGGGAAATTGGGGCAGTTTGGCTTGGTTAAGGCACGGAATAATATTCAGTTACGCCTTAACAGACCATCTTGTTAAGACATCTGAAATCCTGTGACCAAAGTGACTCACTCGTGCAGTTTCACGGGAGTTTGCGGCTCTCATCAAGGGAATACCTGTTATTGAACCTAAAACCGGGCTAGCATAATGGACTAGCAATACTGCTAAGTGCACCTCCAAGCCGAACAGTGCCCTTAAAATCAGATATCGGTCGATTCACATCTGATCCATCTCGGAGATTCTTCAATTCTCCGACTTTTGATATCAATCGGTATACGTTCCTTTTTGCAGACTCCGTTTCTCCCGATTTCATGAGTCATAAAATCGATGATTCTCCGACCCTCGTAGCGTTCATTCTCT